AAGGGTCACTACAAAATTCCCTAAATAGTGAGAGATTCTAGATTTTATTATTTTGAAGAAGAAAAAAAACAAAGATCCGTTAGTGCATTTACCTACTTAAATATAAAAGTTAGAAACCATCTGTTAAGGTTTACTGCTTTTTTTTTAAATTTCGAAACTTCACCTACGCATCACAATTTGTTGTTATTTTATTCTATTTTGTTAAACAAATTGCTTTTTCTTAAAAATAATATACGAAAATCACGTTTGTAAGAGCAATAACTTACTGCAGTTTCAATAAATTGCATTTAATTTACTCATTTAATTGGAGAATTTTTATAAATGGTGAAAATATCGAATGTGAAATTGTAAAAATATGACATGACAGTTGTAGTACGAAAAGGAGTTTGTGATACTTTTTTTTGAGGACGATAGAGCTGGCATAATTTAGTTACCGGGTTAGTACCGGGATTTTTAATAGGTACATAATTTACCCGACGTTCTTACGGTGAAGGAAAGCAACGTGATGCTTGCACATATCGGCGAAGAAATTCAAACATATGTGAAGTCAACCGACCCGCACTTGACCAGCGTGGTTGACTTTGGCCTAGTCACTAATTATTGTAGGCTCCAAGCCCCTCGTCAGGATATAGTGAGCTGGTGATGATGATACTAGGAATTATGTTTTTTTTATAACATAAGGTGGAAAACAAGCAAGCGGCCACCTGAATCCACCGAAATGGAAAGCGACCGCTGCCCATAAACATCCGCAATTGCTGATGCGTTGCCTACCTAATTGATGGAGGAGGAGACGCAGATAAAGAGGACATTTCCCCTTCCTATGCGTCTCTTTTCTCTTAAGAAAAGGGTGGAAAGGGACTTAAAACTTAAATTAGGCCTCCGGTACCACACTCATCAGACGAAACGCGCAATTGCTACCACTTCACGCCTGTTTCCTGTATGGTCGTGGTATTACACCGGGCGAGCCGGCCCTGTAGTGCGAAGATGTTAAAGCGGGCTCTACCACTCTTAAAAGATCTTTGAAGTGTGGTGTAGATTTTATGAATGGTTAAGATTATTCCAATGCCATCATTTACAATTACCATTACCGTACCAAGTAAGCTATTTTAAAACGAGTTTATATGCCATTGGAATTACAAAACAAAAAAAAACAAAAGAAACAACAATTAGCGCTATAAATAAACGTATACATGTAAATTTCTTTGAGCGTTTTTTTCTTTTGTTCACCCAAACGTGAAGTTACAGGTTACGTTTTGTGCAATTTTTAACCAGAAGTATTTTAAAATATTTTTCCTTCTAGTTAATATAGAACAATAATTTTTAGCCGGCGATTCTTCGTGGAATTAAAATACGAAACTAAAGAGCCAATTTGTCGTTTCAGTGTATCCTCTCCATCTATGCCAAATTTTAACGTTTACGGTACAAACTCTAACAAATATCCATCTAAACTTTCGCATTTATAATTTTGTAATATAGCTTAAACTGGATTATTCCCAACCGTCACCCTGCTCTGTCCCCAAGTCTGTGTGGAGACAGATGAGAATAAAAAGTTCCATCCTTCCCACATTTTGCGACAAGGGGACGGTTGTAACTGATTTTATTTCGTAACGGTTCCATCTGTCACCTTATTGGTGATAGTGGAACTAAAAGGTGGGACAGCTGAAACTTTGTATTCTCACGTGGAGACAGAGCGGGAGACGGTTAGGAATAATCCCTTAAACAGTGGTTAACAGACAGCCACAATAACATCTGTTGCACGAATGGGCCTCCCGGTGCAATACCACTACCACACTAATAAGCGTGATCAAGTAATAATTCCTCGTGCAATTTAAAGTACTGGGCAAAGGCGTAATTCCTTCCTACTCTTTTCTTATTAGGAAATAATCGGAAGGAGCATTATATACAGCGGTGGAGATGCTTGTCGTTTGTTGACAACAAACGTTATTTTGGCAAAACCAGCCGTTTTTTCTTATTTTTAATTAAAGTTGACATCGCCATCTCTTGTACATTATACCGCGTATATGCCACGTGTGTAAATTCTTAATTTAAGAGTAATTAGGACTTAATCCTATCAAATCATGCAAAATGTATTTACTTTTTTCGAGCTGGGAATTTCCCAATTACGAGAGAATACGTATTCAGTTATGAATCACTACACAACAATTAAAGTTGTGGAAAATTAGTCAAAAAGAGAATATTTACCTCATTTATTACTTTTTCCGCGATATTGTTATATTGTATTGATAAAAAAAAAACAAAGTTTAATGTCGTTTAAGACGTTTTAATATCGTGCTTCAGTTAGTCTTCTTGAATTAAGATATTTTCCCAAAAACAAGAAGGAATGGTCTTGAGGACATAAAGCATTATGTGTTAAGAATGAATGTGGATGGCTACAAAGGTAGAGGAAGACCGAAGAAAGTATGGATGGATTGTGTGAAAGAGGATATACTTAAGAAAGGATTCAGATATGGCTGATAGAGATGTATGGAAGCAGCACATACTGTGCCGACCCTCCGTAAGGGATAAGGGCAAGTTGATGATGATGAAGCAGAAATGGTCTTAGTATTAAAATTGTTTCAAAAACATTAAACCTGTACTGTCAATATCTTTTATACATATAATAAAATTGGAGTGTCTGTAATATCAAAAGAAAAATTCGAGATTTCGGGAAGATGATGTATTTGCGTTGCTGATAACGAAAATCGCATTTAAACATTTTTTGTCTGTCTGTCTGTCTCTTCCTCTCTCTGTCTGTCCACAAGCCGCGTTTGTTCCGGGCAATCTCCAAAACGGCTGGGACGATTTTTCGCTAACAAAGTTTGCGGGCGACAGCTCGTATTAAATAAACACTTAAAATCAGGTGAACGTTCTATTCATTATTATTTTAAAAAAATGTAACGAATGGTTCGTAATTTTAAAAAAATGCGCGGGAATCGAACGCTCCTTGTAATAGAATCGCCATTGACTCGTTTCCCCGCCATTAATACTAATGCAGACGTTGAATGCGAATTTTAACGCGTTCAGACGAGCCGTAGTAAAATATTGTGATGTATTATTCGCAAATTAAACGATTCAGGGCCAAATAGTGGTGCCAGTGGCATACAAATTGGTTCGGGTTTAGCTCGCACCGAGCACGCCGCGCGCCGACTGTTAATGAATTCAAAATTTACGAACTGCCGGTTACATAATGTGACCTAAACTGTATAGAGTAGGTAACCTCAGAGGTGTTAAATTAATAAAGCTTTTTTAATACTAGCTTAGAACGAGATGGGATGACATAAAGGAGTCAGAGGAGTTTTATTACGTATGAGTTTTTACTGCAGAAATATTGCCCAGGGCACTACTGGCGCTAAAATCAGCTTTTTGCTCCTCCCAATTGAAGTATGATATTAGCAATAATTGAAGATCTATGGCAAGTTTTCCATTCAATAGTTTATAAATTAATCATATTCTGACTAAGATCTGGTTTACTTCTGTTTCATATAAAAAAATGTTTTTAAAATCTCGGATTCTTGAAAGAATACTAAAGTTCCCGTAGTATTCACTACTTCAGTTCAAATTAACGTTACAGTTAATAATCGATTTTTAATCTGTGATTTATTTGTTTGCAATTCACTCTGTTTCATAATCTATGATTACAATATTTTACAGCGAAAAAAAAATAGCTCCGCGCTGGCCGCGAACGTGTGAGCGTGTAGGCATGTTTTATTTGCGATTCCATCTAGCCGCGACTATTTCATACTACAAACACAAATACACGGGTACTCGGGTACGGAACACAATTCGGCGTTCTTACACGCGCCGATCATATCTGTCCGGCCATAGACTTATTAAAACTTTTATGGCCGTTAGACAAATTATTACCTACGTAGACAAGGTATTAAATTCTCCCACTTGTGATAGAATATCGCTATAAGAACTACAATTTAACATTCATCGGCCTAATATTGAAACGACAGGACCGCGTATCGATAAAAACACGCTTAAACTCCAAGTTTCATTAAAATGTTGACGTATGACAGATTGTAAGCGGCGGTTACTAAGCAAAATGTTTTGAATTCGTTTCAGAATTTGGCCTATACAAGATGAGACCAAATTGCATTATTGTCGAACGAGTTTACTGGGTAAAAAATAACGTCTTGTCCACAAATGTGTATAGATAAAAATAAATGAAATCTAGTTTAGTTTAAATCTGCATAGACAGACTATATAGTTATATTGCTTACCCATGTTGTCATTAGAATCTCACTAAAAAGTGATCTCCTACCCTCACTTTCCTTGGAACAGAAACGACTTTTTTTCTCCTGTAATGTCTTGCTGGCCATATTTTTATGAATCATCAATTAAATGTATATCTCTCCTTCGTTATCCATCTGATACTTCTCTTAATATTCAATCTGATGGAGAAAACAGTAAGAAAATTGTAGTGTCTTAGTCCAAAAGTTAATGAATACTGTATCTTTTCAATTAAATAAAAAATTAAAACTTTTACATATTAGCTTAAAGATTAAATTCATATAAACAACTCGATTCTATTGATTTTTCGTAAAAAGGCCTAATCAAGAAGTAAATTTATTACAAAGATATTTGCCAGGCACTTAACTGCTTATGTGACTTCAATTAGGTAACGGTAGTTTACCGTAAAAGCTATTCCGTGAATTATAAAACTAAGCATTTTCTTGAGTTCTTAAAAAAACTTTTAAAATAAATATTAAAGCGACCTCTAGAATCAATTATGTAAAAAAAATTTCAGAGTGACGTGTCATTAAGCTGGGTGACGTTTCAACTTTCAGTCTTTTGTCAACAGAGTGCGCTGTTTTTCCGAAAGATTTAATTTTTGTCGCATTTATTACAAATTTTTTATTTTAAATTTATGGGATTTGCTTAAACATTCAAGATACCTTTTTATTTTTAAATGTTGGGATAAACTACAAAATAAATTTTCGTTTCACTGGCTGTACAAATGTTACCTGTGACTTACATCGCGATGTAACAACACCTTCACAAAAAACTCAACAAAAAAGTACGAGGCAGCCAAGTAAATGGCGTCTCAAGTTGTTTTTTATGCGATTTCTATGTGTTTCTCTTTTACTGTGTCGTATTAAATGTACACCACGGTCGTATCAGTTATTTAGTTATACGTGTTATAATCTAATTGAAAAACATTGTTTACTTCGTCGACGTTTCATTATTTCCACGAAACAATGGCGTCGAATGAACATTTGGAATCCCACGTAAAACTAAGTGAAAATCCTAGTTTGTCAGATGATAATTGTAATTCAAGTTACGCTGGGGACGCCGGTGAAGGTGTTAAGCGTCGTAAAATGACTCAAGATAATAAGAAACATTGTAAACTGGGATACGATCCAAGTATGTCAACTGAATCCACACACGCATCTATTGATTCTATAGGTAAGAAACCTTAGACTGTCTTATTACAAAGAATAATAATACCCTTACATTCTTTTATAAGCTAGATTTCGAGTCATCTGGGCTATAAAACATTTTGGTGGGAAAATAGTTAACCTATCAAATTCTATGTTACATCATATCACTGGAGGTCATATCTGTTTATAAACATATGCAGAATATAAATTGAAAGAATAATAATTAAATTTACACGGAAATTTACAATAAATCAACTAAACCAACACTATTATACTATTTTCGATTGCAACAGTACATGACCTTGTGTTATGCACTCACTTTCTATTTGTCATACTAGTACAAATAAAAATTTAAAAAATTGTATTATACAAACAACTTTAAATGTTCTAGAATGTTCCAGCATCACTAAAAGTGTAGTTATGTACAAAATTGTAATTTATTTAGGTTTTTTATAAGTTATTGGTCCAAATTAGTAATGTTTTGCTTTGGAACATAATTTTATAACATCACCTTGCTTGTCACTCCTGTCAATTGGCTAATCTATCTTCCACAATTAAATTTTACTTCTCGTTCACATCACCTTTTAAAAATAACACTTCAAACGCTGCCAACACTGCAGTTCCCCTAAGGTAGATGTCTGGTAGTTAATCTTTGTGTTCCCGCTCATTCTTAGCCCTAACTCTTATAAAAAACCTTTAATTTCATGTTGTAAATAACATGGAAAGATTTCCACAACAGAGTTGTATTTAATGGTTTCATCAATGTAGATAACATGAAAGTTCTATCCCAGAGTGGTAAAAATTATAATATTTTTTTTCTTCTTCTTCTTCTTCCTTAGCTCTACAGCCCTTTGTGGGCCTTGGTCAAGCAATTTTTTTTGCTATTGATTAAAATAGTTCTGTTGCATATTCACCATAAAATAATTAACTGAAGTTATTGTAAAATCCCTAAATAATTGATTTTAACTGTTGGAAGTGTTTTGTACAGATCTTCATATAATTACTGTGATATATAAATTTTAAAGAGCATTTAATGTTCTATATAAATAAACTGGCTTTTACCTGTGACTGTCTGCAAAAACAAATGTATGTAGCCTATGTTCTACATCTATGCCAAATTTCATCCAGATCTGTTTAGGTGTAGCCTAAGAAACATCCATTTATCCATCTAAACATTTGCATTTATATTACTGGTAAATGTTTATAAGTTAAAGTCCAAGGGAAAGAAACACACAATACTTTAAATTATAGAAGTTTTAAGTTATCAAGGGTCTATGTTATAGAGGTTTTGGGCTCTGATGGGGAGGGAACATATTATTTTTTTAAGTTATAGAGGTTTTATGTTATCGAGGTTTGAGTTATGGAGGTTCTACTGTAGTAAACTAATTACTTTAGGTAGTAGAGCACATTCTCACTACTTTTTTAACAATCTACATCAAAATTGAGCAATAGCACAAGCTAATATTGTTCATAATAAAAAAATTACACTCTTAATAACAATAAATTGATTATTCCTACTTGTGTATGATGTATTTTTACTATTAAGTTGAAAATACAGTTTAAAAAGTTGAATACAATATCTGTTACAACACAGTATTGACCAACCTTTCTACATTCTTCTATATCCAGCGTCTTCGTCAGTTTTAGGTGCACTCTTCTTGAGTTTTCTAAATCTGGACTGTATCATAATGTGATATAAAGTTAAATTTAGGAATAAACTAAGTATAAGCAAGATTTGTAAAATGACTTTATTATTATTATTATTATTGTACTAATATTTGCTTATTCTCAGTTTATTCCTAAGTTTAACTTTATACCATATTTATTTGTTAGGCTGTATAAGATTACTAGCTGTTCCCCTGCAAATTTATCCACATAAAATTATGAAAATTTTATTTTATTCTTTACATGAGTTAAATAATCAATTGCAAATATCAAAATACCAATTACCTTACTGTGGCAATTTTTACTTTCTTGATGGCAGCAACTTATGGTTGCTTTCACACATTAGGGTTTTTAACCAATATATTAACCCTCTATGTTTAATGGCGTGAAAATATATAGCCTAAAGTGTGTCGTAAGTGTAGGGCTTTTTATTAAAGTAAGAATTATTCTAAAATATGCTGTGATTGCTGACATCTTACACCACAAAGTAGTGCGTGTTTACGCTTTATTATAATAGTATAGATATGACCAATACTGACACCCTCTCACATAATTTTCTTAATAATATTGGTTAACTGGGCTAAAGTCAAAGATTCTTTTACACAACTATCATGTTCAATCTTCAAATTGCAAATATATTAGTTTTATGAATGGATTTCACATAAACAACTATACTAATATTATAAAGAGGAAAGATTTGTATATATTGTAAAAACTCAAAAACTACTGGGCCTTAAAGTATTGTTATACCATTAAATTATTATTTTATTTCCCGCGAGCGAAGTCGCGAGTAACAGCTTACTTAATACTTAATAGTTTTCTTGTACGTTCCAGGTAAAAAACGTAAACGCAGCAACGATTCTCAAGAAGTATGCGTATGGGGAGATAATTCTAAGCCACCGAAAATGAGTAAAATATGGCCAGTATTTGATTCCGGAGGATTCGGAGATGCTGCCATGTTAACTCTACATGTTGTACAGAAATCCCCGAATATTGTCAACCCATTATTATATCATCAAGATAAAGAAAGCTTATTAGAGATCAAACAAACTCTGAATGAAGACTGGTTTGGAGGAATCAATGCATCATGGAGTCAAACTAAATTAAACCAAACTATACCACGTGATGACGTCACGAAACGCATCTTCTCATCAGTCTCCCGTCAGTTGAAGATAATAAATGCTCACTTCCAGAAATCCATGCAGAGATATAAATATCCCAGAGTGACCAGGTCGAATATCCTTCTAGAACACACCAATCTCCGAAGACCAGCGACTCATTTCAGTTTAGCACTAAAAGCGATCAAGTTCCAAACAACTCCGAGAAGAGAGTTACCATGTTATGGGAATTTGGAACTACCTTTGAAGATGAAACCGGAGAAAGGCTCATCACAAGTCTTTCCCGCTATATGTACTGGTATTAAAACGGACCCTGATAAAGTGAAAAGTGAAGTGTTAGTGAAAGTTGAACATGATAAAGTGAAAATAGAGAGAGAAAGAGAGAAAGTTAAAGAGAAAGAAAGAGATAAAGATAGGTAAGTGTTAGAATAGTACGTTACTCGCTTTTGCCCCCAACTTTCGCACGATTTAAGCGGCAATAGCCTAATGTTTTGGGGTACGGACTTCGGATCTTGCGGTCGAGGACTCATATCCCACCATTCGACTATTGTCGTGAACCATATCCTAGCACAAGCCTAGAGCTTAGTTGGAATGGTTAATGGAAATATTAGTAAATTAACATAAAACTTAAGTAGCCTAAGTGTTCAAGACTATGTTCTATATCAGTGCTAAATTACATTGAGAGTCTTTGTTAGAAGTTGTTTGAAGGAAGTTTGAGAGTAGCCCCAGTAGTCGAAAAGGTAACGAGTATCAGGTTAGCATGGTATGGACATGTTATGAGGAGGAATGAATTGCATGTTATAAGGAGAATGTTAGTTATGAGTGTGGAAGGGTACACCGGTAGAGGTAGACCTAGAAAGAGATGGATGGACTGTTGCACCGACCCTACGGGAGTAGGATAAGAAGAAAGATGATAATGAGTCTTTGTTAGAAGTTTTGGAGAAACTGCCAACATCCATCCATTGGTATTGGTAAAATAGTAGGGTTTTTTACTAGTTGTTTACAAATACTTTTGAAAATAACTCTAAGTTTGGATCTTTAACATTAAAATGTCAATAACAACACAAGTAAATGTCAACAGTTTTACTATAATCTTATATTATAAAGAGGAAAGATTTGTATTTTTGTATGAATTGAAATTACTCAAAAGCTACTGAGCCAATTTTAAAAATTCTTCCACCATTAAGAAGATAAATTATCAGTGAGTAACATAGGCTATGTTTTTCATCATCACCATCACACTATACATCCCCACCGAGGGGCTCGGAGCCTACCCTAAGTAAGGGGTGACTAGGCCATAGTCAACCACGCTGCACTGTGGGTTGACTTCACAAATATCTTTGAATTTCTTCGCCGATATGTGCAGGTTGCATCACGATGTTTTCCTTCACCGTATGTGTACATCGCTATGTTTTTACTTTTCTTAATTCACGCGGACGAAGTCACGATCAACAGCTAGTACTGAATGTGTTACTATCACCAATAATATATCTTTTCCATGCTAATATTATAAGAGGAAAGATTTGTATTTTTGTATGGAACACAAAACATACTAGGCCGATTTCAAAAAAATTTTCATGATTAAAAAGCTATATTATCACTAAGTAATGTAAACAATATTATTTTACTTTTTAGTAATTTCACATGGACAAAGTCGTGAGCTACGGCAAGTACAACAAATAAATTTACTGTCAATTTTAAAGTATAGAATAATCATTAAATAATACATATTTTAAATCTTACTACTTACTACTATAAATGTGATTGTTTTAGATGTATGGATGGATGTCTGTTATTATTTATCTCCAAATAGTAATGGATCCTAATAGGCAATAAATAATTATTAATAAATTTACAAATACAACCATGTCGGCAAAGAAAGTCTAATAAAATTAGAAGAATCAAAGAAGGCACAGATGAACATACTCTAGAAGTACAAATAGGCTAATTTAGTTATTTAAATTTTGCATTGAAAAAGACATAGGCAGCTATTTTAACAGTGGTAGAGCCAGCTTTAACATCTTCACACGAATGGGTAGGCTCGCCCGGTGTGATACCACGACCACACAGAAAACAGGCGTGAAGTGGAAGCAATTCCGCGTTTCGTCTGATGAGTGTTATGCCGGAGGCCTAATTTTGGTCCCTTTCCCTTTCCACCTTTACCTTTTTCTAAAGAGGAAAGGATGGGAAGAAAAGGTGGAGGAGACGCATAGGAAGGGGAAATGTCCTATTTAAGTGCGTCTCCTCCTCCGCTAATGAAAGGTAGACAACGCCTCTGCAATTGCGGATGTTTATGGGCAGCTGTCGCTTTTTATTTCGGTGGATTCAGGGTGCCGCTTGAACGTTTACCGCCGTATATTATAAAAAAAATAGCTTAATAAAAAAAATGATTCATACAGTCACAGGGAAAACCTTTTTAGCATAAAAGTAATTTGTTGGCTGATGTCATGCTTGTGAGGTGCGGCATTTGATAAACTTGAATGGATTTGTATTACTTGTATGTTGTATTGTATGACACATAAGGATAAACTAAGCCGAGAATATTACGATATAGCTGTTGTAGATTATTAATTAAATCTCAATAAGATGAAATAAAAAAAACTAGGTCCGTAATTTAGTAAGAAATCTTGATTTTACCACAAAATGTACAACTTCTTGTAGTTTTAAATTGTAAGATCTGCCAACCTTACATTATAAGTGGTCTTTTATATTTACCTAACTTCAATGGGGATTTGTTCATTGCCGTAGAAAAGTAACTGATAAATTAAAAAAACAAAAGAGATACATTTTTATGTTCTTATTAGATACTAGCCTGCGATTGTCGACGTGAAATTAAAAAATAATATGAAAAATAGCCTGTGTTACACTGACAACATAGCTTTTTAATGTTAAAAGAATTTTTGTAATAGCCCCAGTAGTTTTTGAATTATTTCTAATAAAATTGTAGTGAATAAACAAAGATTAAATTTTAATAGAGATAATGTAATTGCACTGCTTGTCTGTCTGTCCGGGAATGAAAATGGCACAAACATGAACAGTGTTTAATTATTTATCCTACCCTTGGGGTTTGCTTGAGTTTCGCGTTTATATGGAAATCATAGTTTGTTCTAAAATAAGAACTGAACAATTTACAATAAAAGTTTGTAAAAAAATGACTTCATTAGAATTTTAATTATGGAGCTTTCTTAGAGTGAAAGAATTTTTTTCAAACACATCAGTAGTTTCAGAAACTATCCAATACAAATATTTCCTCTTTATAAGTACAGATAAGAGATGTTATAACTGACCAAAATAGTCTTCTAAATATTATAAACAGGAACAATTTGTGTTTTTGTATGTATTGATGTAACTCAAAAACTACTGGGCTTATTTAAAAAAATATTTCACCATTTGGTAGCTATATTATTAGTGAGTAACGTAGGCTATTTATTTATTTAATACTTTGCATAATTATTACAATAAGTATACTAAATCAAGCTACTACAAGATTTACCCCAGAGCAACCTTATTGCTCTGAGCAATCTCTAGGCTATTTATTTTATTACTTTTTAATTTCAAGCCGAGGAATCGTGAACAGCTAGTTTATTAAAATTTTATACAGATTAGACAAAGTCATGAGCTATATCTAGTATGTAAAAATTTTGGTCTTTAGGTCCCATTCTTCACGTCATTCTTCGTGTCAACAATGTAGGCGACGGGCGCGCGTCAAACGATGTTCTATTGGTGTACAATGTCGTCGGGAGAGGGCAGCACCCATTTGGGGTCCTAGAGGACCCTGTGTGGATATTAAAGGCCTTAAATACCACAGGTAAATTCTCCCTTCAAGTTTAAAGATATTTTATTCTTATGAAAAACAATGTTTCGCTTACAATAAGAAAAATAAAAAAATGTAAAATTTAACTATGAGTTTGCAATTACAATGTAGAAACATATTGAAGCTTTTTGTAGCTATTCCAAATATTCTTTTTCTAACATTTTACTAAAATATAGCTTTTCAACCTTATGTTTACAATGTTATTCTATGCTATAAACAGTAAGCCAATTAAATACATGATTCTAAGGGCTTCCCACCACTGGCTGATAGTGGCTTAGATAGCTTAAAATGACGTCACTATCAGAGGTAACAAAATCCGATATTTCCATCACATGTTTTATTTTGGATTGTTATCAGACAATTTACAATTTGGTGGGACAGGACCTGAATTTTTATTTGTATATGTTTATTAAGTTTCCATCTGCAATATTTATCTTGTGTTGCAGGTTAATGCGTGTGGAAACTCATCCGAATGGGGGCGCTAGTGTAGTTTACCTATATCAGCATGATATCGACATGTTGAGCGAACAACAACAGGAATCTTTAGCCAAGGAGTTTCTTAAGGTAAAATGAATACTCATAGTATCCCGTGCAATGCATCCACATGAAATTATAAAAACTTTATTTTATTGTTAACTAATTTTTGCCCGCGACTCCCTCCACGTAGATATAAAAAAAAACAAAAGTGAGTAGCCTATGTGTTCTTCCAGATTATCCTCTACATCTATAGTTAATTTTATCGAAATCCGTACAGCCGTTTAGGCTACAAACTCTAACAAGCATCCATCCAATATAGCCTATCTTACTCACTGATAACGTAGCTTTTTAATGGTGAAATAATTTTTAAAATAGGTCCAGTAGTTTTTGATATAATTCGATAAATACAAAAGTAATCTTCACTCTGTATAAAGATTTGTATTTTTGTATGTATTGTAATAACTCAAAAACTACTGGGCTAATTTAAAAAATTCTTCCACCACCAGATAGCTATGTCATCAGAGAGTAAGATAGGTGTTTTCACGCGGACGAAGTCACAAAATCTAGTATATATAGTGTAAATAATGTAATTTCCCTTGTTTCTAGCTGGTATTCTCCGAGGACAGTGGGGGGTGGGCTCAGTTCGTCTGCGGGGTGGTGCGGGGCGCGGCGGGCAGGCTGCCCTGTCTGCTGCGGTACCTCTCAGAGAGACATCCCGCACTCACAGTTAAAGCGGGAGTGTTAGCACGCGCTTCCGATATAGAGACTACCACTATCAGCAGATATTATCAGCAGGTTAGTAAGACATCAAGAGTTGATTTAAGGACCTGTCTCAACAAATTTTAAATTGATAATAATCAAGTAAATAATTGATTGAAATATCGGATTTTATTCCCTAATCTAACAGTGACGTCATTAAGCTATCTGAGCCTCTATCAGCCAGTTGTGGGACAAACTCATAACCTTTTTTTATTAGTATGTGTGATCCACTTCTTGGACTCTAGCATGACTGTTTTCTATTTTGTCAACATTATCTGTTATTTATTATATTAGTATACAAGTCGCTCGCGACTTTGTCTGCGGAGAATTAAAATACAAAAGATATGTTCAGGACTATCCTCTACATCTATCAAATTTCATTCATTTAGCTGTTTAGGCTTAAAACTCTAACAAATATCCATCTAAACTTTCGTATTTATTATATTAGTATTACTAGCTGCTCCCGTGTGGCTTCATCCGCATGAAATTAAGAAAATTTAATTTTATTATTTACATTTGTCAAATTATCAATAGCAAATGTCAAAATGACATGACTACGACAAACAATGTAACCTTGCTGCCTTGATGTCGGCAGCAACTTATGGTCTCTTTCCCACATTAGGGTTTTTATCCAAAATATTTACCCCCTAAGTTTAATGGCGTTAAAATATATAGTCTAAAGCGTGACGTAAGTGTAGAGCTTTTAATTAAAGAAAGAATTATTCAAAAATATGCTGTAATTGCTAAAATCTTAGGCAACAAAGTGTGTGTTTACGCTTTATTATAATAGTATAGAAGTATACAGATGAGTAATTTTGCGTTTTATGTATTTTAGGTGCAACAAACATACGCAGCGGGTACATTCCGTTGTGGGCCGTTGCACCAGATTTCTCTGGTGGGCACCGTGCATGAGGAAGTAGGGGGATATTTCCCTGATATGCTGGATATGCTTGCCCAATGCCCGTTCCTCAAACTGGTAAGTACCAGTTACCCCCCCATTTATTGAGTGTTTCCGAAATAAAGTTTCAGAGTTACTCTATTTCTGCCGAAAACGTAAAGTGTTTTTTTAGAATAAACAAGTTTCTTAATCGATAGTTATGTTCCGCGATCTGCAATATTTCAATTTTTTCAAAATTCAAAAGTATCTTGTAATTTCAGAGTTTAAAAACGTATTATAAGTCTGAAGTTTTTGTTTTTTTATTTATTAAAATTTTGTTAATATTGTCTAATCCATTATATTACAATATCTCCTATTTTTAACAGTACTAACAAAGTAAATTTCTATTAAAATTATGTTAATAGTTACGAGTAATTAAATAAACACGTTTTTGGCTAATAATTCCATTTCACTTGCTTTTTTTTTAATGATTTGACGATAGAAACATGTCTATTTTTTATATAGTCTACAATCACAGCCTTATAAAGATATTTTTGTTTTGATTTTTTCTTATAATTCATCATTTCTATTATATTTTCATATTATTGAAGCAAATTATAATAAAAATGTGTTTTTATGGAGACAATGCCGTGGGGTCCAATGGCTGCAGTAGAGATGGAACCGCAGGAGTCTAACGATGGACCCATCTTATGGATCCGTCCCGGAGAACAATTGGTGCCAACCGCAGAGCTTGGGAAGAGTCCCATCAAGAAAAGACGGTATAACTCACTTGTTATATTCAAATTATACTGAAAAAACGTTATTAAGTGTCCTTTGCAAATGCTTTACAGGTCTTATATCTGGTGAATGCTTCTAAAAATTCTATTTTAACATTTGGTTTAAATCTATCCATAATATTGTGTGACCAATTAAATTGTTAAATCTAGTTTTTAAATGAATTTAGACCAGATTTTTAACTTTATCAAAATTGACAGTGTTTTTATCGACAGTTGCGTTGTTTATGATGAAAATTGAATTTTTCAAATGTACTACGTATGACTGTTTGTCTGTTTTTCTGTTTGTTTGGACTGATTTTGACAGAACTGTCGCGAAGTTAGCTGATGTACGCAAGAATAATACAATATGATAGACTGTTTTTTATCAATACCTTTTGGGCCTTTTTTGTTTAGTGTACTTTTATCCATTTTCGTTTGTACTTATTTTTTCCCTAAAGTGTGTGACCGCTATCACCTTGTATATGTATTTATCCAACGTGTTTTTAGTACTGGCATGAACGAGCTACGCAACCTACAGTACTTGCCGCGCTGGAGCGAGGCGCGCGAGTTCCTGTTCGAGGACCGCACGCGAGCGCACGCGGACCACGTCGGACACGGACTGGACAGGATCACTACTGCCGCAGTCGGTACGTTGACCATACGCTTTAGAGCACATTAGACTACACTACACTACACTACACTGTACTGCACTACACTATGCAACACTAAGCAAAGCAAAGCATTTTTCCCTCTATAAAAAAAATTATGCATCACTATGCTATGCTACACTGCACTCCGCTACACTTCTTTACGTTATACTACACTACACCACACCACTTCACTTTACATGCATTACTTATACTACATTACACTACGCTATGCTATGCCAGACTACACTACACTACACTATACGCTATCCTATACTACATTACGCTACGCTTAGCTTCACACCACTATGCTACACTTCACTACATTTCACTATGATATGCTCCGCTATGCTATTACTACACTACGCTAACACTACATTACGCTTCGTGACTATACGCTACGCTATGCTATAATATACTACGCTACGTTATACTACATTACGCTACATTATATACTTTAATATGTATCTGACACAGACATTTCAAGACAAAAACATAAATTCACGAGCGTCAGTATTTACATGCAGCACACCAATCCAGTTAGCGTTGTCCAACTGTACTGGCTAATGTATATTGCAGGTGTGCTGAAGGCCATACAGAGCGAGGGCGAAGGCGAGGGCGAGGTGCGGGGCCGCATCACCAAGGACGTGGTGGCGTTCCACGCGGCCGACTTCAGCAAGCTGGTGCAGCTGCTGCAGCTCGACCTCTACGAGCCCCCCATATCGCAGTGCGTCACCTGGTCAGTACACTATATGTATTAGCTTACGCCTGTGACTCTGTCCGCGTGGAATTAAAACACAGAAGTAGCCCATATCTTTCAGACTATCTACAATTCGAGCCTATTAACGCTCTATTCAGAAAATTATCGTTTTTCTGTGATAAATTTACACAACTTGACCAAATGTATGTATTGTTAGGAATAAAATTAGTACCGTGCTATAGAATTGGCGCAACTCTAGATTATCGGCATAAACGTCACGTCCCTAGCTGACAGCTGTCAATGTCACTAGAAGTATGGATAGATTGGCGCGCAACCTGGGTCTGGACGAGAAGTGTTGCTCTGCGTTTAAAGCGACAGTATCAATTAAATAAGTTGTCTAAAAGTATGTATTAGTTTTCGCCTGTGACTCCGTCCGCGTGGTTTTAAAAAACAAAACCAAGTAGCCTATGTGTTCTTCCAGATTATCCTCGTTTATGCCAAATTTAATTGAGATCCGTTGAACAGTTTAGGCTACAAACTATTATTTATGTAAAATGTATGTGTGTCAGGCTGGAGGAGGCGAAGCTGAACCAGCTGCGGCGCGAGGGTGTGCGCTACTCGCGGCTGGCGCTGTGCGCAGACGACGTGTACTTCCTGCCACGCAACATCATACACCAGTTCCGCACCGTCTCCGCTGTCACTTCCGTCGGTGAGACACACAGACACACAGACAAACAAACATTACCTTAAGTAACATCGATATGTGAAAAGCTATAACCGCCATTCAGAATCAGCGAATTTTTCTGCGTATTTTGAGTTGCATTAAGATCAGAGCATTTGGGGCGCTTGAAACAATATTTTTTATTTATTTTCAGCATGGCATTTACGGCTGAAGCAGTATTATCCGTCGTCGGAGGCTTCGTCCCCGGCTGAGGAGCGCCCCGCTGCGGACCCCACGCCACACGTCAATACTGGTAATTTATTAATTACTTATATGAAAAAAACCTTCATTTTGGCACAAATATTAACGTGAATTGAAAATATTGTTTGTTACTTATAGTCCAAAATTGTAAAATAATATTATAATAGTCGAATTTCATTCAATCAAGTTGTAATTACCCCGTGTAAGGAATGTAATTTTTTTTTATATTTCCACAGAACCTAAAAAATCATCAGCAACGAAGCACAAAAGTGGTGTTATTGAGATGAGAGCGTTGAGCGCTAAATACAAAGACAAACCCACGTTAAAACTGACAGACAGAAAGAGTACAGAAGTACAGACTAACAAGACAGAAGATAAGAAGGAAAAGAGAGAATCCAGACATGAAAGGTCTGATAGAACGGACCAGAAATCACATAGACACAGAGATAGTGACAGACATAGATCAGAGAAATCAGAGAAATCGGAAAAACCCGATGTTAAAACTGAAAAAGACGTCAAAACAACCAAAACTGAAATTAAGGTTGAAAAAGTAGATTCAGATAAAACTTCCAAACACATTGATAAATTAGATATAGAATTAACAGATAAGGTAGTTGTTAAATTGGAAAATCGGTTAACTGACAAAGTTGACGGTAAATGTACAGATTTAGTTAAAACAGATAAGTCGATCGAAAAGGTTGACGCTATCGATAAATCTGAGAGTAAAGAAAAATCTAATGTCAAATTAGATAAAACGGAGAATAGATTATCAGATAAATGTGACAAAACAAAAACTCAAGATACAGAAAAGGCAGATAAAAGTGACAAAGCAACAGAAAAGTCGGAAATTAGAGTGTCAGAGAAACCTGACAGCAAATTGACCGACAAGTCTGACAGTAGAACATCAGATAAACCTGACAAGACAGATAGCAGATCGTCAGAAAAATGTGACAAGACAGAAAGCAGATCCTCTGACAAATCCGATAAGGCTGAAAGTAAGTCGGCAGACAAATCAGAAAGTAAATCTTCTGATAAATATGAGAAGTCAGAAAGTAGATCATTAGATAAATCTGACAAATCGGAAAGTAGATCATCAGATAAATCTGACAAAACAGAAAGTAGATCTTCTGATAAGTCTGACAAATCAGAAAGTAGATCTTCCGATAAGTCTGACAAATCAGAAAGCAGATCTTCTGATAAGTCTGACAAATCAGAAAGTAGATCATCAGATAAATCTGACAAATCAGAAAGTAAATCTTCCGATAAGTCTGACAAACCGGAAAGTAGAGCTTCCGATAAGTCTG